ATTTTTAGAGAAAATCATAAAGCTTTACAATTTGTGTTTTACCTTTTGGTATGTAAAAGTCGATTTTAGTAGCGTATGAACTCCAGGCCAGTTTCACCTGTTGGTAGCATGTTTGTGCACGTGGCTTCCTCCCTAAATTTTCTTCTCCTTCCTTCTCCATTTGAGCATGTGCTTATTAGAACAAAAACGGTCATTTTGGCTAGTGAGGAGAATACATGGTTTTTGAAAATTGTCCTGGTATTCTGAGGATGTGACTCGGGGAATCTGTCTTAGCCTGTTGTAAATGCTTTAGTCTTGTTGAAGATGCGGCATAGCAGGGGCATCTCTAGAAAAGAGGCTGAAAAAAAATAATGGAGAGAGTCAAATCAGCAAAGCTTGAGCTATTTGAATGTTAAAAGAGGGCTTAACTTTTAACAAATAACCACTGGCCAAGCCCAAGAGACACATAAATGGGTTACTGTAAAATAGGAAGGTTCTCCTTGCAACCATAAAGCCTGTATTATAGTTACAGTATTTCCATGCATGTTTCTTGAGTGTTTCGTTCCAACTGTTAATACAGAGTAGAATTAATGAGCAGTAAATTAAAAAAATAAGCTATACACAACTCTGTAGCTTTTAATCCATCATTTTTGGCTTTTATGTTTACCTTCTTTTAGCTGTGCTGTCCTGGTAGCGAAGAAGAATGTAATGAAGATATGGATCATTCTTGCTGGTTTTTAGCCTTTTATCCCTTCTTGAGCTGCTCAGACACAGTATTGTGATTTTTATAAATCGCACGTACTGTTTGGGCTACAGGTGCTATGGTGCGTATGTGAAGAGCAATGCTGAATTTTTACAATGCATTACTATTTCCAATGTAAATAGGGTACTGCTTTTAGGCAAATGCTTACTTTTCATGTAAGTATAAATTAAAATCTAGAGCATCAGCCCATACCTGTTCCCTCTCAAAGCTACATTTTTTGTTTCTGTAAAAGGTAAAATATTATGTTTTTTTCAAAATACTTTCTCAAACTCTATGTAATTTCTTTTAAAGATAAACCCAAATTACCTGAAAACTACACAGATGAAACCTGGCAAAAACTGAAAGAAGCTGTGGAAGCTATCCAGAACAGTACTTCAATTAAGTACAATTTAGAGGAGCTCTATCAGGTAAGTGCTGGAAGTGAAAGCGATGGAGTAGGGCTTTTTCTTTTGTGGTTGGATTTTTTTGATGCAGTGGTAGGAATATGACATTTTGCTTGCTGGCTGCTTTTGTCATTGAAGAACTCTTCGTTGAATAGTTTCTCAAATTTTAAAATCATCAGTAAAAATTTCACAAGACCTAACATAAACTTGGAAATTTTTTTACCTGCCACAATAGCAGCTCTGCGGAGAGGAACCTGGGTGTCCTGGTGGACGACAG